CCCCCCCCCAAAAAAACTGCCTAATATGTTTTCTCTCTCCTCCCCTCCCATCCCTAGCTGTGTCAAATTCTTACATATTACAAATTCACATTTCATTATGTTTTCAAATTCAAAATTCGTGTTATTTTCAGTTCAATTTTTGCGTTACAATGTTGTATGCAAGGATCGATCAGTAACTATGCGAGTGTCATTCAACACAAAGCCGAGTTCAAACCGACGGATGACGTCATGTAACGACATCATTCCGTATGCATTTTTCCGTAGTCCCCAGAGTATTTATCTTCAAATATCTAACAGAAAAAGAAAATTCGAAACAAAAAGTGTGTCTAAAGAAGCTTGACCCCGTTTGATATTCTAATTTTTGATGTAAGGATATTTTGGTAAGTATTTTGAGTGCGTAATGCTTCACGGCTTTACAAGCCGTGGCTCGTGCCTCAAGTCAACTTTGAAAACTTAGAAGAAACGTTGATTGTTATCGACCTTCAACGAGTTTGATTTACGGCTAATTATCAATGTTTATACCTGCGAATCAAGTTTGAATAGAACTATTTATCTCGTCTAGGGGAATTGGAAAGGAAACCTTTGCATTTTAGGGCCGATATTCTTAGATTTTGTTTGTTTTCGAATAATGGAACGCAAATTGCAGCTGTAATTGCAACTTATTCTAGCCCATCGAACGCCGACGGCTTCAGCTTCATTTATACAAAAACTCTCGCATTTTAACCCGGAATTTTTATAATTTTCAGCTATGTTACTTGAAGTTTAAACTCAATAGACGGTAACTATGGGAATTTCATTTGTTGGTAAGTAATACGTTTGGTATTTCTCGAAGTGTGGTTAGGAATTACAGTATTCTCATGTTTCATGCCGTAGTCAACTACAGCGTCCATAGATACCGCAAGCTGTCAAAATTGCCCGAACCTGTTCGCTTTTCTGCAGCTCTCGGTTTTAATTTAAAGACAAAACTACTTATCATACTCTTAATATAATCTTGTGTTTTTGGGTTATGAATGAGTGTTTGACTTGGTTTGATCTCAGCTGTTCGCAAGTTACATCAGTGTAAGAAAAAAATATTTTTATCGATGAATCGATTATAATCTTTGATCAAACCAAATATGTATAGTAGTTATCAATTTTTCTCAACCGTGTTTTTTTCTACTAGATTATATTATCTGGTTTTAAATAGACAAGAAAATATCGCATAAAAAGTAGTATTTTTCTATTTATTTTCTTTGGTTTGAATTTTAATACATTACGATTAAAATAATAGATGGTAAAATACCGTCTTGTACTTAACTTCAGTTAATATTTTTTTTGTACTTTTTGCGTTTGAATCGTTATGTATAGGAAGCAAAGTAGATGGGTATTTAGTTAAATAATTCTTCGAGGGCTTATTTAGCCACGAACTATTACACACTACATGTAGTTAAGATTTTTATTAATTAATTTGAAGTCAAATGATTGTTATAGAAATGTCATGAACACTCTCGGTAAAAAGCTGTTTTCTTTTTTAACTTAATTCTTCCTTCTCGTAAATTCGGCTTAAATTTATTAATTTTTCTACCCGGTTCTACCTTAGAATTCAAAACAAGTGATATATTTCCTTGGGTACACGAACTATTCGTTGCTAAGCGTTTCATATGTCAACAATTTATTGTCAAATTTTCTGACCTTTTTCCTAACTTGAATTCTAATTAAATAAACCCTGTTTAATGGCTTAAAATCGAGATGAAAAAAAAATTCCATCCAAAGTTTTAAGGTCTTTAACATTTTTTCATTAAATTCTGTGCTTTGCATGGCTTATAGTATTTGAAAATAAGTTATTGCCTGTCTCAAGAGATAAGAGACAGTTACATACTATTGAGGCTCTATTGGGGGGGGGGGGGTACCCATGTCCTCTGTCTGATTTTCACAACTGCTTAAGTCACAATTGAGGGATGTTTTTGTGTAGTCCCTTTTTGATATTTACACCTAAACAGGACCTGTGGCTGTTGGTAAATCATCAAAGTTCTTTGCTAATTGGTGGCTCTTTTGTTGCCATTACAAGGCCATGTCGCTTTTCCAATGGCCACAGGTTTGCTACCCACTGGCTACCGTCTAAAACAAGAAACAAGGATGGCCACACAAATACTACTTTAATAACAGATATATTAGCTTTGGGGAAAGCGGGGAGGGGTGGTAGGGGGTTGGCTTTCTGAGAAAAGGTATCCAGGTCATCTGGCCTTAAAGCGTGCAAAGGATTATTTGTCAAATCGAACCGCTCCTAATACCCAGTCGCCTATTGTATGATATCTCATGGTAATCAAAATGGCAGATGGTGACTAATTAACACGACACAGATTTTGCTTCCTTTTATTGCATTTATGCTTTGCTTTTATAAATTTAAATTGCTGATAGGGTAAGAGGAAGCTTTTGTGGTACATGTAACATAGAATGTTTCAATGTATAGTTATATTTCAGGGCGTATTTTGAAAAAGTTAAATTGAAATACGACTCCGTTTTGAAATTCATCATTGAATTTTGGCGATGCAACAAAAATGCTTCTGATCGGTTAATAATAAACAGTAGTGTGTGCACAAGATCACCTGGATGTGTTAAGGAGAAAGGGATAGTCACCTAACAGTCCTAGCTCCTTTAGTTTAGTTTAGTTTGATGTATTTGCCACAGTTAAAACATTTCTAATAAATAAATAAGTAAATAGATAGATAAATAAATAAGTAAATAAATAAAATAATAATAGCAAATTACCAAACAAATTCAGAACTTGTGTCCCATTTCTAACCTAGTTCCTAAAATTAATTTATATAGAACATTACCTTATCCCAATGAAATACTAAATTTTAAATGATTTTACTAACAGTTGGATCATGTTATTTCTAGTGGTTCTGGTCAGCCTATTAAGTGCATTTCTTCCAAGTGTTTATAGTGATGGTGCAACAAATG